TCAGGGCTATAGTAGTAATTCGTCTGTGGAGTCGGAGGATGTAGATAGGATTCTAAATGAATACTTTGTTTTGGGGTTCATTAGTGAGAGAAATGATGTGTAGGTAAAGAAATCAGGCGGAAAGGCTGTGATATAATTTTAAAACTGAGCACAGGCAGAGAGGAGGTTCTTAGCAGTCACAGGCATGAAAGTAAATAAATCTCCTGGGCTGAATGAAATGTATCTCAGGATTTTGAATGAGGCAGGGAGGAAATAGCAGGGTGGCAATTATTTTCAATTCCTCACTGGTCACAGGAGATGTGCCATGGGACTGGATGACAGCCAACGTGGTACCATTATTCAACAAAGGAGCAAGGGGTAAACCAGGAAACTAAACCAGTCAGTCTAACTTCAGTGGTGGGGAACTATTGGAAGCAATTCTGAATTAAGCTGCACTTGGAGTGGCAGGAACTAATCAGGAAGAGTCAGTATGATTTTGCAAAGGGGAGGTCATGTCTGACGAACTTGATTGAATTTCCTAAAGAAGAGACTAGTTGCGTAGATGAGGGCAATGCTTTTGATGCAGTCCACTTGGACATCTGCAAGGATTTTGATAGGTACCCACTTGGGAGACTAATAGTGATTAAAAGAGCCCATGGGATCCAATGAAATTCGGCTGATTGGTTGAAGAATTGACCGAGAAGGAGGAAGTAGAGGGTGCAGCGGTATTTTCGTGACTGGAAGGTCGAGACCAGTGGGATCAGTGTTGGAGCCCCAGCTATTTTTGGTATACATTAATCATTTAAACTGAATGTAACAGGGTCAATCAATAAGTTTGTGCGTGATACAAATGATGATGGGCTGTTTTCCTTGAAGAAGGGAACACTCAGGGGGTTGGGGGGAGGGAACATGACTGAGATGTATAAATTTGAGGGGTACAGATAGAAAGGAAGAGACATTTCCCCTTGATGGAGGGATTAATGACCAGCGAGTATATATTTAGAGTAAGGGCCAAGAGCTATTGAGGGTATGTGAGGAAAAGGCTTTTCACCCAGAGGGTCGTAGGAATCTGGAACTCACTGCCTGACAGGGTGGTAGAGGCATAAATCTTTATTTAAGAAGTATTTAAATGAGCACTTGTGATGCCAAGGCATACAAAGCTATGGGCCAAGACCTGGAAAATGGGATCGGAGTAGTTAGATGCTTATTTTTGACTGTTGCAGACTCAATGGGCCAAAGGGCTCTTTTCTGTGCTGTAGATGTCTAAGACTCTAACTATCAGTATTAGGTTATTTACTGAACAGTATAAATTAACTACCATGTTGTTCTATGAGACATTAAGTAAGTAATCCTTTGACTTTGTGTTATCCTGGGCTACAGACACCACCATATAAATGTAAGTCTTTTTCCTTATTTCACAAAAAAGTTCCATCTACATCACTTCAATGCAAAAAAAACTCTAACATTCTGCAGAAAAGTAAAAGAGACTTAGATGGGAGAAGTTAAAACATAAATGGCTGGTGATTGTGGTACACCACTTAAAAAGGAGAGGTACTGTTGCCATACCTACAGTTAATTCATCACAGGATCGCTCAAAGGAAGGTAATTCTTAATCTTACAGCTGAGATCATCAGAATTATAGGGAACAAAGTACAATTACACTAAGTGCTGAAAAAAAAATCTTGAAAGACAAAGTGGTGCTTTCGCGGACAAATCACATGACTGAAGTATATTAGAACCGTGAAGAATCACAATTAAACATAAACAGAAAATGCTGGAGAAATTCAGCAAGTCTGACAGCATCCGTGGAGGGAGGAACAGTCAAAATTTCGTGTTTTCTTCAGAACAGACTTCATATTGGACTCAAAACCTAACTCTGTTTCTCGATCCATGGATGTCACCGGACTCGCTGAGTTTCCCTTGAATCTTCTGTTCTGTGCTGATTTCCAGCATCTGCAGCATTTTTCTCTTATCACAATTAAATAGCATGTGCAACACCAGCACGTTTTTCTAATAAAACATTTCAACATTTATTTGAATGATTTACAGCATTTAAATAAATACTCCCCAATTTCAAAAGTATTAGTCACAATACATTTTCTTTTCTCCAATAATATTCATAAACAAAATCAAATCCCTATATATTAAGAAACATTTTAAAAACCAAACATTCATCTATTTGTATGTTAAAAATGCATCTGTGGCACAGTCCAAAACCCCATATATGAGAATCCAAATAGTAAGCATTTCAAAACCTGTTGCAAAAATTGCTAGCCACCAGATCTTGGCTTGCTTTTTTTCTTAGTAGACTGTGTTTCCAAACTTGATAAAAATTTCTCTACTATCACCTACAATCCTATTGCTTAGCCTGACCTGCTCCAGCATTGCCTGGTCTATGCTGGTAGCCACCCAATGCCACAGACTGTTTTGAAGGGATAAAAATGCATTTTGAACCATCCAAACCTGGATGGTTGGCAAAGGCTACTCTCTGATTAGCGGTAAGAAGTTTCCCCCTGAAGTGATGTCCACTAATGTTGCAACAGTTCTTTTCCCATTTTCAAACTGCAGAAGTTCAAAAAAAAGTACCCAATGTGTCCACTGTCTGCACAGTAAACATAGTGGCTCGGCTTTGGTTGCTGAAAAATGAGGCTCGAGTGCTGGGTCTAGCAGGTGGAGCACTTTGGCCACTTCTAATTGGAGGATAATTTAACATATTTTGCCTTTAGACTTAGCTTCAAGCCGTTTTACATAGTTTTACATAAAATACGTGCCTAAAGTATTTGTGACTAACATTTGAGAAGGAGACCTTTAGTAAATAATCAGTTTGATTGAATGATATTTAGATGCATACTTGCCATTATCAAAATGTCCCCATTAATCTTTACAGAAAAAAAGTCAAAAGTTTGTTTCCAGATTTAACCATCTCACCTGCCTCTGGAATTTTCTCATCCCACGATCTGATTTTTCCAATTCACATTTCAGCTCATCAACTGTAGCTTGCAGATCCAGTATTCTGGAAGAATTATCACAAAAAGTGATTAGTTAAGTTACAATAAAGAATACTGATCTCTCAAATGGACAGGAATTTACAGTAGAAAGAACAAATTTATTAGAAGTAAATCAGCAATGAAAACAGGGCTTCCAGAACAAAGGAACATAACCTTACAATTGATTGCTGGTGAAACTCAGCACATCTGGCAGCAACTGTGGGAAGAAAGCAGAGTTAACGTTTCGAGCCTGGTGACTGTTCATCAGAACTATAAACAGCTAGGAGAAGGCAGTATTCATGCAGAAGATTAAGTTGGGAGGCGGGTGAAGAGCTCAGCAGATAGGGGAGATGGAGCCCAGAGAGAGAGCGGGAGAGATATGATTATGGACAACAGGACAGGGCAGAAGAAAAGCTGAATAAGTGATAGTAAGAGCTAAGAGTAGGAGAGAATGGGTGACTATGTTAAAACCAACCCATGTTATAACAGGACCGAGTGTGGGGTGGATAAAAAACACGGAAGGATGGTATCATTTATTGAACTTTATGTTGACTCCTACAGGCTGCTAGGCTCCCAAGCAGAAAATGAGATATTGTTCTTTGTGCTGAGGCTTGTTGGAATATTGCAGCGGGCCTGCAACAGAAATATTGGCATGGGGACATGGTGGTGTGTTGATGTGGCAGGTAAGTGAAAACTGGTGCACTCCTTCCCAACACCTCCTCATACCCCCACTTCACACTCAATCGCATAAGGTGTAATACTTGCCTATTTACCGCCTCGCTCTTCACTGTCCAAGGCCCCAGACACACCTCCAACGTGAAGCAGTGATTTACCTGTACTTGATTCAATTTGATACTGTTACTGTATTCGCTATTCACAGTGAGGTCTCCTCTACACTGGGGAAACAAAACGCAGACTGGGTGACTGCTTTGCAGAACACCGTCACTCAGTTTGCAAAAATGGCCCAAAGCTTCCAGTTGTCTGCCACTTCAACACACCACTGTGTTCCCACACCAACATTTCTGTGGCATGCCTGCTGCAATGTTCCAGTAAGCCTCAGCGCAAGCTCGAAGAACAATATTGGGGACCTTGCAGCCTCTAGGACTCAACATCAAACTCCAAATGCGAAACGTTACCTCTGTTTTCTTCCCACAGATGCTGCCAGGCCTGCTGAGTTTCACATGCAATTTCTATTTTTGTTTTAGATCTCCAGCATCTGCTGTTCTTTTATCCTACAATTGATGCTGGGTAAGTTAGTAAAGCTTTTATTGAAAAGTTTGTTGAAATGTGAAATTCTCCCTCACTAGGGTAGATAAAATTGTTATTGAAACACCTGTTGTCAACAACATGAAAACAATAATTTTCTAGCTCTTCTCCATTCCGAAGAAAAGGCTCTGGACTTGAAAAGTTGGTCGTACTTGTTTCTCCACAGATGCTGGCAGGCTAGCTGTGTTTCTCCAGCATTTTCTATTTTTACTGGTGAAAATGGTATCAGGTAAGGGTACAAGACATTATGAATTAAAGGCATGCAGATAGATGCAGGGAATTGATCTGATTGGATCTCCTTGAATGGAATAGTATTGTGGGGTTGAATGGCTTAACCACATTGTGAAGATTGTTCTGAAGTTAATGTCTGAAACAATGAATTAGAGTAACATTGCTATACAACCAAATCTAACTAAACTATTGAAACGTGAGCAAATGGGTGTCTTGGCAGCTTTTTTTATTAACATTAAAATACATGCTTGTATATTTATATATTGAAATTTTTATGTCAAAAATATATAGAAAAAGCATTATGCATAATATTTAAAAAATTAACTTTTAGAATCATAGAGTCATACAGCACAGAAACAGACCTTTCAATCCAACTCATCAATGCCTATCAGTTTTCTCAAACTAAACTAGTCCCATTTGCCTGCTTTTGACCCATGTCCCTCTAAACCTTTCTTATTCATGTACCTGTTCAAATGTCTTTTTAAATGTTGTAACTGAACCTGCATTTACTCCTCCGCACCAAATTTGGTAAGGTATTACAGGTTGTCACTTTCACCTCACCCCTAGACTTCGGTTGTGTTTAAATTTGGAACAAGGTTACGACGTAGTCTGGAGCCATGAGTGGGTTATTGGTGAGCATCTGATGCTTAATAATACTGCTGATTGCTAATGTTGCAAATGCTGTGTATACGAGTGTGTATATGTGCATCCTCTGATTGGCAATGTTATTGGGGTATGAGGATCATATGGTGCAGTTTCTGCCTTTGGGCCAGAAGGCCTAGTTTAAGTCCCTCCTGCCCTCAAGGTGTGCCATAACATGTCCAAATAATTGATTATAAATAATTATAAGAGCCAGTTTCCAACTGGGAGAAGGCTAATCTACAGAAAGAAATAGTAGAAACAGAGGGTGATAGACGAGGGGTGTTTTTGTGTCTGGAAGTCTGTGTCCAGTGGGGTCCTGCAGGGATCAGTGTTGGAGGCTTTGCTACTTGTGGTTTATAAAGATGATTTAAACTTGAATGTAGGAAAGTAAAGGAATTAAGGGTTATGGTGTGCGGGTGGGTAAGTGGAGCTGAGTCTCAAAAAGATCAGCCATGATCTTATTAAATGGCGGGGCAGGCTCAAGGGGCCGGATGGCCTACTCGTGCTCCTAGTTCTTATGTTCTTATCACTGGTCATGGATGATACAAAAATTGGTGGGGTGGTAAATAGTGAGGAGAATAGCCTTAGAATACAGACGAATAGATAGGCTGATTATTGGCAAATGGAATTCAATCTGGATAAGTGTGAAGTGATGCATTTGAGCAGGACAAACCAGACAAAGGAATACATGATAAAGGGTTGGACCTTGTAAAAGCACAGAGGATCAGAGGGACCTTCGTACGCATGTCCGCTGACTCCTTAAGATAGCGGTGCAGGTAGATAAAACAGTTAAGAAGCCATATGGGATATTTGCCTTTATTAGCTGAGGTATGGCGTTTAAGAACAGGGAGATAATGCTGAAACTGAACACAACATTGGTTACAGTATTGTCTTCAGTTCGAGCATCCACCTTAAAGGAGGGATGTGATTGCAGTGGAGAGGGTGCAGAGGAGATTTACCAGAATGTTGTCCGGGGAGTGTTTTCATTATGAAGACAGATTGGGCAGATTAAGGTTTTCCTTGAAGCAGAGGAGACTGAGGGGTAGCATAACTGAGATATATAAAATTATGGGGAGGCATAGATAGGGTAGACAGGAATACACATTTCCCCATGGTGGAAGGATCAATGACCAGGGGACATAGATTTAACGTAAGGGCCAGGAGGTTCAGACAGGATGTGAGGCAATTTTTTTTCACCTCAAAGTGGTGGGCATCTGGGATTCACTGCTTGAAAAGGTGGTGGAGGCAGAAACCCTCATAACATTTAAGTATTTCAATGTGCACTGTAATGCTAAGGCATACAAGGCTTAAAATCAGGTGGTGGAAAATGGGATTGGAATAGATAGGTGCTGTTTTTTTTTTTCTAGCACAGACTTGACGGCCTGAAGGACCTTTTTCTGTGCCGTAGATTTCTATGGATCTATGACTGAGTAGTGTGCACTTATGCTATATTGAACATTGTGAATAAATCAATATGGAAGACAGGCCATCTCCCTTTTCTTCCTTCACCAAACAGCTGTCTACTACACTATCGCTAATTGTTTTCACTATATTACTGATGAATTGAAGTACAGGTAGTTCCGCTACAACCTGTGTTTCGTTAATGCGAATTGGCTGTAACGTGATTGATGAACAGTGGATGCTATTTGGATAATGTGAACTTTCTGCTGTACAGGTATAGCGATTTCCCTATGATGCAATTTTCTATAGTATGATTTTCTATAGCGCAAGGTCATGCAAGTACGCAACTATCACATTATAGGAGAACTACCTGTGAGTTAGTCCAGCAGTAATTGGTCAGATTCTATCTGTCTTTTTTTTGACAGTGCCAGCCAGTTTTGCAATTGGACAGATGCTGGTAAGTATCTTCAAAAAGCTTAACACTTGAATGATTCATTCTGGAGCACAGTTACACAAAATAAAACTATCAGTGTCCCTTGCCCTTGCTTGTATCTAGTACAAACAGATGTTTACTAATGGGATGTGGGGTGAAATTTAAAAGTTGAAGACTGTCAGATAGAGATCATTGGATTAAATTGAAGCGAAGTATAAAAATTCAAAAGAGAGATGAAGTGCAGAGTAGTGAAGAGGTAAGCAATAATCAAAATGTGACAGAAAGAGATAGGAAATATAGAGTTCATCAAAAATTAGAAACTGAAGTTAATAATGATTAAAACTTCAAAGTTTAAGGCTCTTTATCTGAATTCATGCAGCATTTGTAACAAGACAGATTGGTTGATGGAACAAATATAAACAAAATAATATGACTTGATAGCTATTATGGAGATGTGGTTATAGGATAATCAAGATTGGGAACTCAATACTCAAGGGTATTTGTGTTCCAGAAGAATAGGCAAAAGAGAAAAGAAAGTGGGGTAGCTTTGATCAATAAAGGAAGTTATCAGTGTAACAGATAATAGGTGCAACAGGTCATGATGTGGCATCAGATTGTGTGGAAATAAGGAATGGCAAGAATTAAAAATCACAGGTGGGAATTGTCTATAGGCCCCTGAAGAATTGCATTACTGTAGAACAAAGTATAAATTGGGAAATAATGGAGCACTGTAAGAAAGGCTTGACAGTTGTCATGGGTGATTTTAACCTGCATATATCAGATGGGCAATTGGGTGACAGGGAAGACCAATTTCTAGAGTGGATCGGGAATTGCTTCTTAGGCAGTATGTTACAGAACCTACCTAGGAACAGGTTATTTTAGATCCAGCAACGTGCAAATGAGGGAGGATTAACAAGAGAGCTCATAATTAGGGATCCCCTAGATGTGTAGCAATCAAAACATAGGAGAATTTCAAATTTAGTTTGAGGGAGTGCAACTTGGGTCTCAATCCAATGTTCTCAACTTTAATAAGGGAAATTCCACAGGCATGAA